GGGAGGCGAGCGGACCCGCCCTGCCGGCTTGCGGCTCCGCAATCGCGCCGCTGCCCCCCGGGAGCTCCCCTGCGAGCGGCGCTGGGCGCCTGGGCGGGAGCGGGGGGCGGCTGCCGCTTGCAGGAAGCGAGCAGCGCCAGGCACCGGGGGTTTGTGCAAGATCTCGGTTTTCGTGTTGGCTTTGCAGCTTCGCCTGTTATTTTTTGAGCTGCGGTTTCTCCTTCAGTTCAAACCCTTGGAGCGCGGTGACATAGCTGTGCATTAAAGAGGCGGGACCTCGGACACCGAACGGATTTCTGCAGGAAATCAGATAGCGGCCACAGAGAGGTCCCAGAAGTGAAATCCGTTCAAACGCTAACGACAAAGCTCCTACGGCTTTGATAACGCTGGCATTTCTTGGAAAGTTTCTGCTCGTTGAACTTCTTTCTCTCGCAGTCAAGTCAGGGAAAGACTGATAAAATTGCAGGAAGGGCTTATATTTATTTCTTTGGCACTGGTTCTTGGCATAAGAGAGAGATGGATGTGTAAGCCTGCAAAATGGAATTTTAAATTAAGACCAGAAAATGGAAGTATAGGATAAAAGTTTAAAATTTAGCTCCAAAGATGACCCTGGTTTGTCACATCAGACAATTCCATTTCCAAGGAGAATTTTGAGTCTGTGTTGAGATAGTAGGACTAATTTGTGGCAAAGACTGAGAATAATCTGTAAATCAAAACTATAAAGCATTTGATTGTTTAAAAAGCTGAGCATCACCAAGTAGTCAGAAAGCTGTGGGAGTTTCTGGAATTATTTTAAAAGAAGAATTCTAGCCTCAAAAAAGTAATTGTTGAGTGGTGTGCTTTGTGCTTTTGGTTTGGTCCATCTCAGCTTTTTTTCCCTTTATTTGCAGAACACTAGCAGTTATCAGAGAGAGGTAGGTATTTTACAACTTGAGAAATGGAACAGAAAATGTATGTGATCCACTAAAGCAAGAGGAAGAGACTGGAAGCCAAGGGAGATAAGCAAATGCTCTTAGTCTTGCCTTCAACATACTTGTCAGAGCTTTCAGTGAAGTTCTGCTGCTTGTTCCTTCGTTCCACTTCTGCAGATTGAGCACAGCACGTAGTAGTTTGCTGCCTTTTCTTTAAGTAATCCATATCTGGAAGTGGGTTAGTAACTTTTTACAATAGATATATCTCCTTTAGAGTAACCCAAAGTATTTACAAACATTAAGGGTTTGTCTATATGGAATGTAATAGACTTCATCTAGATACAAGCTTATGCTCTGCTCACTATTGTATACCACGCTCCTTGGAGGTAGCAGTTACTACTAGTTATGAATTTACACTGTGCTAGCTATATTGGCTTACCTTAGGAATACCGTTAATGCGCCCTGACACTGGTTCCATGCAGCTCAGTGTAAGTTTGCAATGCAGGATCTAACGTGCTGCAAATTCACAGCTTGCTTAACGCTAATTTCTGTGCATAGGTAAGTCCGCTTTTATAAAGTAAAATCACAATGAAGTGACAGTCTTTACATTACTTTTCAAACCAGTATCCCATATATGCTGTGAGATGCATGACCAGAGTTTCAGAATGTCTTACAGCTCCACTTAAACATCTGGTATACTGTGCACTCGCTCGTCTTGCCAACAACAATAAAAAAGAAAAACAAAACACACCCCCCACCCCTGGGGTGAATTTTCCTTTTCCCAGTCAGTAGGTATCACAACATATATATAATTCAGCCAGTCTGTGCTTTGTTTTCTAAACATTTAAGTAGTGACCATCACTGTGTCTGAAAGTATAGCACAATCAAGTTATAATCTCAG